TATTTAGTGAAAAATTAGGCATGGTAAATATATAATAAATTTATATAATTTTTAAATATAAAAAATGTAAAGAAATTATTTATTAATATTTCTCATTAATGTAAATTAAATCTAAGGCTCCAGCTAATACTTCATTTACTGGTACACAAGGAGCAATTGGATATAATCCAACATGGAATGCAGGAACAGCTTATCAAGCCTGGCCAAGTCAACCTCAATCTACTGATACAAGTATGTTTACATTAAGATAACATAAATATAATAATTAAAAATATATATCATATATATATTTAATTTTATTATGTTTTTAAGATACTGCAAGTCAAACACCTGTTCAAGTAAATCCACAAACGGGACAACCAGATTATAGTGCACAATGGGCAGAATATTATCGATCATTAGGTATGCATAGAGAAGCAGATATGATCGAACAACAAGCAAAACAAGGAAAACAAGATCATAATCAACAATCAGGTAAAAAATTTTTTATTATGAAGATATAAAAATTAATTAATTTTATTAATTAAATTTAATTTAATTGGTAAACGTAAATTACTTAAGTTAAGTATAAATTAATTAAGTATAATTTAATTTTTATGTATAGGAAATACACAGAATCAATCTAATACATCAACACCTAATGCTGGTGGATCTACTCAACAACAACAACAACAAACACAACAACAACAACAGACAGGAGCAACACAGAATGGCGGTCAAGCCGATTATAGTGCACAATGGGCAGAGTATTATAGAAGTATTGGTAAAATAAAAGAAGCAGAAGCCATAGAAGCTCAAATGAAAGCAGGCAAGGTATATTGATTAAAAATATTTGTAAAAAAAATTAATATAATTGATTATAATGTAAAAAAATATTAAAATAATATATTTTATTTCTGTTAGTTGGGAATACAAAACAATCAAATTGCTCAACAACAAATACAACAAAGTATACAAGGTCAATCCGGTCCAACAAGTGGGACTCCTAATACATTTCCACAAACTTATGGTAGTTATCCAACAATAAATGCTAGTTCAACTCCTACGGGTTATTATGCAGCAGGAGCTGGATCTACCACACAGCCACAAACCGGTCAACAAAATCCGTCTTTCCCAACGGGCTATCAGAACTATCCTTATTCACAAACGAATACAGAAAGTTAAACTTCCATCAGGAAAAATATTAGCTGTAAGTATTTATTTTTACATATCGTAAATAAACAATATGAATTAGAAAATTGTATGATATTGAAATTTTATTTTAGTGATGTGATGAGACTATATGTAAAATTTATTTTCAAATCTATACTTTTTAATATTATTTTAAATTATTTAAAATTATTTTAATATTAATGATTTAAGAGCTTTTATTATTATTTATTTTTTTTATTTCTTTTATATCATACAATTTTTTCTAAATATTCATTTATATTAAGTCAATGTAAAGTTGAGTGTAATAAAAACATAATTTTTAAATATTTTAAAATATCTAAAGTATATGAAATATAGTTATATGAAATTATAATTATTAAAATTATATTTAAAATGTTTGCAATTACTAATTACTAAATTATCCAGAAAAATATTCATGAAATTATAAGATATAAATATTAATTTTAAATTAATTTTAAATTAATTTGAAGAAATTGTAGAATTGATAATTGAAAAAGATTGATTATTTTTTAATTCTTAACAAATGAAGAGCAAAATAGTTTAATAAAAAACATTTAAATTATATATTTTTTTCATAAAAAAGTAAGTACAATAATTCATATTTCATGAATATTGTATATATTATATACTTCTTCTTATATATAAATATTTAAAGTATAAAACAAGTTATGACTAAACAAAATATATCTTTTTTATTTAGGTCATATATATTTCCGAATATTCTATAATACACACAAACTAATTTGATATTGATACAATATAATTATTTATATGTTATTATATCTAATCACTTATATTTATATTGGCTTGATATTTACTATTTATTATATTTGAAAATCAATGGTGTAAGAAGAAGGAAATATCATACCTATGCTGATAATTATTGATACTTTCAGGGAATTAAATATTTATAAAAATGATAAATCTATGATATTTTAATGTTTTATTTAAATATTAAAATAATATATTTTACACCTTTGAAAGTATATTTATATTTATACACTTCATGTGTTTTATTATAATTATTTGTTTATTTCAGATAGTTTTCAGATAGTTTCCCATCGGGATGCGGTTAATGCCTGCTGTAACTTCATATACTGTTTACAATAAAATTACAATAGTTGATCGCTTCGCAAAATCCATAAACTTTTGAAAAATGCCACTAGAACCAACTATGTTCTATTTATACTATAATATTTTGTGTTTTTTATATACATAGATATACATATTGTAGGATACTCATGGTTTTAATTTTAAGTAACGTGAAATGCCAGAAATTTAACACATTATAATATGATATTAACATGATGTCTACTTGTGTTCTACTTATACTATTGTATGTATTTTTGTTCCATAACATCTGATTGTAACATAAATTCAAACTGGCAGGTGAAGCAGCAGGTCAGAAACAGGAACGGGGAATCTGCAACAATATACCCATATTATGCTTCCCATTTATCGTTAAAAATACTAAAAATTATCTTTACCAATGTATTCATAAGAAAAACATTTAGATACTTATTTCAATATGTCATTATTTATGTTTCACTGGTTCATTCATGAAACATTTATCTTTAGTGGATTAGGAAAATTATAAGTATAATGGCTGTAAAGACAGCTAAAATTCGTTTCTATTGTTTATGAATTGTTTTATCTATTATGTATGCAAGAGAATATGATATATATATATATATATATGATGGTCTACGTACACATATACACTATTATAACAATACTAAATACAATTTTACCTTGGTTCCTTTGCTTTTTCTTGTCAAATACCACTACTATTTTAGATTCTTGGAGCTGCCAGTTGTAGGAATGTTCTACGATAAATTTCATCAAGGGGAACTACTATTTTAAATCTTTCATTCAGCATTCTATGTGTTTATATTCAAAGGAATCAGGACCCGCTAAACTGGAGAATAATGGAATAATGGATGGCATATCAAATTATTGTTTGTTATATACAACTTATAAAATCATATATATTATTTACTAATTTTATCAAATGGTTATTCACACGAATGTATTAATTATCGTAAATAATTGTCAACAAATTTTACTAGTCATATGTAAAACCTCCAAATCATTTAAATTTTATCAAAATTGAATTTGTAAATTTTATTATCACCTACAATTAAGATATTTTTTATATTATACATATTATACATATATATTATGTTAATCAGGAAAGATATATTTGCAAAAATGACTGATAATTCTTTTGTTATAATTTTGTTGTTTCTTCATATATAACATTTTACTTACTGAAAAAAATTTATCTTTATATAAGTAAATTTTAAATAAGTATGTAAAGGGAAAAAAATATTGTTTGCATATTTATTGTTTAATTTTTTTTATTTATAAATTACATAAAAATTTGAATATAAAATATTGGATGTATAAAAAATTTTCAAACAAAGATTTATTTATATTTTTAAAATGTGCTACAATATGCACTTGCAATGATAAAAAAGGTATTAAATTCTATTCAATAATAAAAAGGTATTAAATTCTATTCAAGATAAATAGTAAATCTATTATTATACATGTATTGATATACATAAAAAATAAAACTATTTTTTTTACTTGTAATACATTTTTGTATTTTACAAATATATATTACTTTATTATTTGTATCAAACACATTTAATTTTTCAGGATCGGAACTTTATTTGTTTTATATACTTGTTTCTGTTGTTAATGTTATATTATACTTAAATAATTTATTTATGGTACTTATATGTATGAATATATTTGGGAAATACCATAATAAGTAAATATCATAATTAAAATAAAATTTTATACAAATTTTGCCTTATTGAATCATTTCTATGTCTAGGTAATATAAATATTATTAATAATTAAATTGCAAAATGAATTTTGTTTTGTTTTTTATAGAATTGCATATAGGTAATATAAAAATTCAAATTTTGATTTATTCTTTTTGTTGCAGTTATGACTTAAATCGGCCATGGTCTGGTATGATTTTAAGTAATATATGTATTTCATAAACAATTATACATCTATTTTTTTTCTACATCATTGAATTTTGATGTGTTTCTGTTTATCATCTAATATACGATTAAATGTAATTAATAATAATAATCATTACAAGTATGTTATCACACAAACAATATTAAGTATTTAAAATCAACATATTGTTTTTATTTTATATTACAGCAAAAAAATTTATATTTATACTCGTATTTTGGCAGTATATTTTATAATTCAAGTAAGTAAAATTAAATAATATTTCATTTTTAAATAATTATAAAGAATTAAACAAATTTATATATTAAGATTTGAACATAATTATTAATACAAGATATATAAATTCTTTTTAAGTTTTATTTATTATATTTTTGCAATTATAAACATACATAAAAATAATGAAAATGTTTCAGGAATGAAGATAATCATTTTTCAATCTTTCTGATCAAGAAATTCAACTAATGGATATTTGAAATATATGCAAATGTTAAATTTTAAAGGAAAGCAAATTGGTTTGTAACAGGTTTGTAAAATTAATTTTTGACAGAAAGGAAAACAGATTCTTAATAAAAAATATGTTCTAAGATTTAATTATTTATTATACATAAAATAATTGCCAATTAATCATTTAAGAATTTTAACTTTTAATATTTTTATGAGCGTTTTGTTTAGAATATATGTATTATCATATATATATATTTAAAACAATTTATACTATATCCATGCATTGTACGTAAATTTACTTTATACATATGTACATATGTAATTAACTTAATAAAAGCTATGTATATATATATATATATATATATATATATATATATGTATGTGTGTGTGTGTGTGTGTATCAAACACACAACTTGTTGACTTTATAGAAACATTTTAAAAAATATATTTGTGAATATTTCATTCTAATATTAATATCATTTCTATTGAATTCGTATAATATACGCGTATATATATAATATATAATTAAGAATGAAATATTCATAAAATATATATATATATATACATATACATATATATATAAATAAGGTACATATTTGTGCCATTAAACGTTATCTTTTAAATTCATTCAATTCAATGCAATTTAAAATTGCCATTAAAATGTATGTACACTTACATTAGTTGAAGCTTTTGAATTTTTATATAAACATTATTTGCCAGCAAATAATAGCATTTGTTAATTGACTCAATAATAATGTTATCCTAAATGTGTACTACAATAAATTAATTTGAATAACTTCAGATTTCTGGTGGTGGACCATACATTGGATTTAACTGTTGTGTACAACGTATAAATGTAGCACGTCGTGGTAGTTCACGTAATCGTTCAGCTCCTGTGTATGTGCATGCTGATCGCAAACCACCCAATATATCCAATACAGTACTTTCTACTGGACCTTTGTAAGGCACTTCCACAGTTTTGCCTTCTGATGATCTAAAAAAATCCAAAAGAGAAAACATAAAAAAATCAAAAGTATATAATTCATTTTTCAAAATATAGTTTTATTTATATTATTTGTGTTATTTATTAACCTATATTCAGCAACACCAGCATGCTTCTTCATTGCTGTGCTTGAAGCCATACCATAAAAAAGCTTATATTTTTTTCCATTTTTTTCTATAGTATCACCTCCACATTCCTCATGACCAGCAAACATACCACCTGCCATTACAAAATCTGCTCCAGCACCAAAAGCTTTTGCTATATCACCTGGACAAGTACAACCACCATCCTACAAAATATATTTCTTAATAAGTTATACACAATTTAAAAAAAAAAAAAATTAATATATGTACAAAAACAATATATTATTATTTACAGAAATAATGTGTCCTTTTAAACCATGAGCTGCATCTGCACATTCAATTACAGCACTTAATTGTGGATATCCTACACCAGTCTTCATTCGTGTAGTGCATACAGATCCAGGACCAATTCCAACTTTTATTATATCTGCTCCAGATAATATTAATTCTTCTACCATTTCACCAGTAACTACATTTCCTGCCTACAATAGTAATAATTTTTACTTTTAAATACAAAAAGGTTAAATAATCAAAGATTAATATTAAAGATAATAATTCAATAAGTAATATTTTTGTTATTTTTTTCTACAAAATTATAATATGATAATATAATTACTTACAATAATTGTATGATTAGGAAACTCTGCTCTTACTTTTCTAACATATTCAACAAAATGTTGAGAATAACCATTAGCAACATCTAAACAGATAAAAGATAATTCTGGTACCGATGTTAGTACATTTGACAACCGTTCAAAGTCTTCCTTTCCTGTACCAGAACTAGCAGCTACATATTTAAGGTCTTTAGGATTTTCAGCAGCAAAATTTTTCCATTCTTCTACTGAATAATATTTATGAATAGTAGTAAAGAGACCATACTAAAATATAATAATTAATATTTTTTAGCTATTTGAATCATTTATTTATTTATAATTTATATTTTTTTATATATAATATATATAATTATATATAATTTTATTATAAGTATCAATTTTTATTATAATAAAATTAAAATAAACGTAAAATATACCTTTGCTAAAGCTTTAGCCATTTCAAATGTTCCTACTGTATCCATATTTGAAGCAATTATTGGTATTCCCTTGTAAATTTGTTTTGAATTACGAAATGTGATTTCCGTAAATAAATCGACCTAAAATTTAGCATATTTTCATCATTAATATTAAATAAAAAAATTTCTTAATTAATGTTTATAAGAAATAAAATATATAAATGCATGTGATTAATTAGTAAATTATAAATTATAAATGTACTTTTTATAAACTGTTATCTATTAAATAAGAAGTTTTTAATATAAAAATTATTTTAAAAAATAAGAAAAATGAGATTCTTATGTTCATATTAAAAAATACAATATTTTGCTCTCAATATTTCTTTTATATAAATATAGAAAAAGAAATTGTTTTTTTACAAGTTAAATTTATTAAAAATACATATTTTTATAATTTTATATTAATTATGTATGAAACATAACTAAATTTTATAAAAAAAAGAGATGAGAAACAAAAATATAGACTTCCATAAATTTTTATAAACTTTATATAAATATTACTTACATCAGATCTACTTTTTAACGTACTTCTTTTTGGACGTAATAAAACATCTTTAAAATCTAATTTAATATCATTTATAATATTAGGCATTTTAAAAGACAATTAATTCCTCATTCACTTTTAGTAGACGACTTGGATTCAGTTCTATCGAAGAGTAAGGATTATATGAGCCTGTAGTTTCGCGGCGATCGCTTATTCTTAATAGTCATTGAATTTGTGTTAGTAATGCACATTAAAACATATCATTGGTTAAGTATATCAAATAATGTATAAAATCACCAATAAGATTGCAAGATATATTATAGTATTTATTAAACTCTTGGTTATTAAATAATTAATAATTTAACAAATATTTAATATTTATTTTGTAGATTAATAATTATTTATTATACAGATCATTTATTATAAATTTTAAATTTCTATACAAATTTATTTGATATATTCATCAACATATTTATGTGTTTCAATTATGAACTACGCTTTACAAATAAAAAAATAAATTATATTATAGTCAAGACAGACGCAGTTCAATTAATAGTTGATTACCTTGTCTCAATTTATCTCAATTGTCTTCCTATTGTGATTTAATACGATTGTTACTAAGCGATAAAATTTTTATAAAAAGCTATGTATGTTTTTATTTTTTAATTTTAAAGTTTTAAAAGTGAATATAAAGAAATATAGAATTGATATATTTAAAATAATAATCTTTAAAAATGTATATATTTTTATATAATAAAATTTTTTAAAAATTTTCATATTACATATTTATTAACATATTATTTCTTATTTAAAATAAGAAAAATAATTTTGTTATAAATTGAATATCAATTAAATAAACAAATATAATAATATTAATAGAATATCACTTACCTTATTTTTAAAATATAATAATAATTTACAAAATTTTTTTACAAAAATAGCAATAAGGTAATTATTTGTACAAATAATTGTTCAAGAATTATATATTATTTAGCTCTATCATACTGCATTTACAATTTTATGAAATGAAAAATATATAATATTAAAGTGTACATAATTTTAAATATAATTTTGTGATGGAACATCAATTACAATTATTAGAATTGCAAAATGAATTATCTATTAAATTATAATTCTTGTTTGTATAGTTTGAACTTATATAAAAAATGAAAAAGATTTCAAGCAAAAAAGTTTTATTTACTTTTAAGTTCTGATTTAGTTATGCAAAATGGGAATTTTTTTTTGACTAGGATGCATAAATGTTACAGAATATTAATTAACTATATAATATGCATCTTTATATATGTTGACATATTTGAAACACATTAGAAACCCATTAGAATAATTAACAAAATTTCATATTGTTGGCAGTTAAAAATGGGGCAGTGTAAGGAACTGGGTAAAGAATGATCAATATTTTACATATTTTGAAATTCATCAGTACCATTAGCATTGAGCATAAGTATATTAGGATTCTCCTTTTCAAAGGCAGTTGCATCTCTACCTCCAGGTCGTTCTTCCTGACCCCATTCACCCAAGGCCCCACACATCACATCTGGTTGTTCTCGCAATTTCTCCTCTTCCTTCTGTGACATTACTAACAATTTATGGTCAAACATGAATATAATACATATCACATGAATATAATTTAAAAATTTATTTAAAGTATATATTTTATATGATATAATATTATTACATATTAATTTTTTTATTATAAATTATATTATAATTATAAAGACATGTTATTAATAATTAATAATTAAAATCATGCATATAAATGAGTAATAAAAAAATAATTGCAATTCTATATTACATAAGATTATTATTGTTTTTCACAAACCTGTTTATCCTCTTGTGCAAATTTATCAAACATATTTGCATATAGTTTTTTCTCTTTTGCTAATTGCTTTTTAATGAGATTATTGCAAATTCCAATTTGTTTTACAGCTGCTGTATTTTTTGGTTCTACTTTTAAAACCTCTTGAAAATCTTTAATTGCAATTTCAGGTGATGCTAATGCAAGATATGCTTGTCCTCTTCTAAAAAGTGCTTTTTCATTTTGTGGACTTAATTTCAAAGCTTCATTACATGAATCTTTTGCTTCAACATTATGATCTAATTTTAAATAACATAATGCCAAATTTAAATGTGCTGATAAAATAAGATTATTTCTTTCTATTTTAAGATCTCCTTCAAAATCTTCTCCATATTCTAAAACTGAAGTAATTTTTTTATACATTTTAATTGCTAAGTTGTATTTATTTGCTTTGAAATAATTTGTCCCTTTCTCTTTGTACATCTTAGCTAAGTCAATTTGTTCATGATTCTTCAAGGACCAAACTTCTACCTGAAATAAACATATTAATATTATTAATATTAATTTATATTATATTTTTTAATATTAATTAAAAAAATTTTTATTATTTTATATGTCACAATAAAATAATTACTTTTTCAAAGTTTTTTAATTCTACTATATATTCTACAGTTGCATTTGGTGGAATGTCAAATTCAGGTTTTCCTACGTTCTTAAAGGCATATTTGCTTTTAATTATAAGTTTTGATTTTTCTCCACTTTTAAAGCTTTCTAAAGCTTTTTCAATACCCTCTATGACACCACAATCTTCTCCTTCTCCGAGGTTGAATTGTACATCTCTATCTTCAAATATCTTCCCATTGTACATTCCCATTAAATGTACTAAAAAAGCAATAAATTTGAAATACAAATTGTTATGTTATAAAATACAAAAATATAAAATATGTTATTTAAATTTTTAATAGCATAAAATGAAAATATTATAAAATTATATTTACCATTTACTAAAGCTCCTTCTTGTGGAGTGATATAATCTTTTCCTTGTACAATTTGATGCCTCTCAATACTTCCATTCTTTTCAGGACTTAAATCTTCTCCTTTCCAACTAATCATTTCGATCTAATAAAGAAAAATATATTTCATAACATTAAATTTTTAATTAAATGAAATTTAAAATATATTATTAATAAAGATTAATATTTTTATATAATTAAAATTAATGTTTAATAACTTACTTCAAATTTAAGTGTTGCATTTGGAGGAATTTTAGGTGGACTACCATTTTTTCCATATGCATATTCAGGAGCACAGGTCAATAATGCAATTTCACCTTTTTTCATAGTTGCTACTCCTATATCCCATGCTTTGATAACTGATCCTTTCTTAAGTTCAAATTGAAATGGCTCATTACGATCTTTGCTTGAATCAAACTTTGTTCCATCCAATAAAGTACCAGTATAATGGACTGTTACATTGCTTCCAGGAGATGGAATTTCATCTCCAATACCTTCTTTGATTATTTCTTTCATAACACCTCCATCCTTATTAGGAGATATATCAATTGCAGCCATTCTAAATTAAAAAAAAATTGAATAAATATTATATCTATTTATATTTAATATTTTATATTATTAAAAATGGTAAATTTGATTCTATTTAAAAACCGCAGAATAACTATGACATAAATAATGATATAAAAAAAATTTTTTTAAAACATAGTATTATAAGAAATAATAAATTAAAAATTAATTTATACTATGCAATGTCTTTATAGTTCTTAATAAAAATAAATGATGTTAATGGAACTAACGAAAAATAATATGTATATATATAAATATTTATTCAGCAAAAAGAAATGAAAGTATATATATAAAATTAAATAATACATATTGCAAGAATACTTACTTATTTTAAATCTTTAAATAATATTTTTGTTATTCAATAACACTTTACGTAATACTGAAAACACGTTTAAGGCAGATGATTCCAGAAACTAGCTGGTCTCGCAGTTCGTTTAAAGTAATCAATTTCATAGAACTTACCAGAAATTCTAAAGCTTCATTTTCGTATCGATTATCGACTTTTAGTTATGGTATCTCGATTTTAATATCGATATAATTTATACGAATATCGATTATATTTTTACTTTTGAAACAATTCAATTTTTCTTTTAATCTTTCTCATACAATTTATATATTTTTTTTTATTAAATTAATATAAAATTATTAAATAAGTATAATTATATTAATTTAATTATTATATTCATTATAGATAATTCTATAATTCAAAATATAATATTAATATTCATTAAAATTATTACATTTTATTTATACAATATATTTATATATTGCATTCTTCAAACTGTTCAGTATTTATCGAAGATTATATTTTATATATATTTATTCTATTTAATCAATATTTTAAATATGATAGTTATGATAAATTTTATATTTATTTTTCAGTTTTTTTATAATTAAATTTATTTCCATTACATTACTTTTGAAAATAAAAAATATTAATAAAAATAAAATGTATTGTGTTTTTTTTATTAATTTGCAATGAAAAATATTTTATGAAAAATATATATTTATGATTTAATTAATTATGGATAAATTAATTATATTAGTTATAAAGAAATCATTCCTTAATTTGAGATATATAGTAAATAGAATAATATGTATATATAAAATGTATTTAATAATATAAATAGCAAATTAAGTTAAACAAAAATAAATAATTTATTTATAAATCAAATTTTTAATAGTTATTTTTTCATTCAATATTTTATATCATCTTTTTCTGTTACAATAAAATTTTAAAACAGTTAAGGTCATATTTTATTTTTTATGCAATTGAATTTTACAATAACTGAATAAAATGATTTTTAAGTATTACAGAAGAATAATATTAACACAAAACAAAAAAAAATATATGATTATTATAGAAGATTACAGGAAACGTTTTCTGAAAGATAAACATCACTAGTCACATAATTGTACTATGTAACTAGTATAAATATGCAAGTATTCTTTAACTTATGACAGTTTCGTTTCAATTTCTGTATATATATATCTTAAAATGAAATTGTATAAAATACATTTATTTTTTTTTATGTTACTTTGCATCGCGGTAAGATTTTAATAACATTTCCATACTATTTATTACACATTCAAATTCAAATCTCTTTATTTTATAATTTGTCACTATTTACTTTAAAATTTATTTTATTTATAATTTTTTTAATTTTGTTATCAGTATACTAGTTCCAGTATGTAAATCTATACCATTAGTTAAGATTAGATAATAGTTAATATTACAAGTAAAATTACAAGTAATTAAGTAAAAATAATATATATATATATATATATATATAT